CTATACTCTCAGATACTTGCTTTGAATATTTTTAACTCTTGATTTCACGCGAAATTCAAAAAGATTATATTCTGTTGACTAACAAAGAATATGCGTCAGACATTCCAAAGATGCCTAATGCAAAGTCAGTTTGGGAGTTGTTTCTTTTTAGGTAAATGTTTTCTTTGGTTGAAATTATTATCCCTAATTTTTTTGATTCTGATGTTTCTTTTATTTGTGCAGTTTTTTCACTCCTTAAACCTAGATCGTGTTTTATGGCATTGTGAACTCCTCATGAAAAATGAAGATGGAATTTATCCAGTATATTTTACTTAGTTTCTTTCTTCAACAGACATACAGACTGTTTGTTGGCAATCTTTGGAGCTTTATCCATGAGTTCTCTTTTGTAGTGGAGGGCATGTGCCTTTTCCGAAGGGCATTTGTAAGCTCTTCCAATGTTTTTTTGGAGGAAGTCGCTTGTCTTAGTCTCTCTTGGACTGTAGCAGTCCACCATTGGCATTGCATATCCTTGAAAACTTAGGGTAGCAAGAGAGACTTTTCTTTTTTCCCACTTATGGCAAGCACAAATTTGCTCTACCTTCATTTCCAATCTGGGTAAGCCTAACATTATCTTTTCCATGAAAATGAGGCAAATACTACATTAACTTCCTTAGGGGTAGGAGGTCGATCAATTCCCTCCATGTCTTCTTGATGAAGGAAGGTTGATGATAATAGTTCTCTACTCTTAAGGCCTCTTGTTCATATTGGGACTCTCCACTATAACTTCTCTCCCTAATGATTGCATTGCAACTGTCGCTTGTGACTGCACTTGATCTGTCCTATTTCAAAAGTTCACATTCAATATGTCAAGAAATCTTATTCACATGGCACTATGTAGCTCCGCTTTGGACTTTGTTCAATAAATGTGACTTACCTTCTCTCTAGCTACTCTCATTTGAGATTGTCATCGCAATGATCTAAACCTACCAAGATACTTAGACGACGTATCGGTGTAGATAAAGCATAATAACTTGATGGAGTGTGACTATTTTGGAGATCTGGCAGGAGGCATCAACTATGATTCGTAGATGAGTTGTGATTTTTTCTGTGCTTCTCGTCCTATTTTGATCTGAAGTGAAGCAAGATTATATTGATTTTCAAATACGTTGCAAAGTAGAGAGAGCTCTATATAATACCATAAGACTTGAGCGCAGCATGTACTCTTAAATAAAAGTCACGATTGCGGAGCAGTCTAATAGTCCATGACTACTGGTTAAGCTTTAGAACGCTAAGGTATGAATCTTTTTTTTAGAGTGAATGAGCCGTATATGATTTGGAACTTTGTTCCCAGACACACTCACTGTCTATCTAAGCATTATTAATAACTATGATATCAATAAGCCAATGTGAATAAAACGCAAGTTCAAGTGATGGAAGAACACTGTGTGGAATTCTTCAATCACATATTTAATTGCCAAATGACTCACCCATTGTAGAATGGGGGATATTCCTGAAATATTTTTTTAGCAGGAAATAAAACATCAATGGTCGAACATCTAAAGTTAGAATAGATATAGTATTAACGATGGAATAGTTACCTATCATAGCTCTGTGCTCGTAGCTTCTCAGCTTCTCTAGGCTCAAATGGCAAGTCTGAACATATCTAGTGCCTTCTTATGATCACGCACTTATATTCTCTGCTTCGACATGGAGACGCGGAAGCATCAATGCCTTGAACATATGGCTTCTAGTCCGAGCTATGGACAACCTTATTTATACAATTTCTAGGGCCAGTGGATGTTCAGACCAGTGATAGACGTGGTTCTGGGGGGGGGGGGGGGGTGCATTACATCAAATACATCAGCCGCAAACAATCTAGTCCGGCCGACAATTCCCGTGCTGCATCTTCTTCCTTTGCCACGCCTCATCTCATACATCCGCCAATTACTTGCATAAACCAATGGCTATCCTACATCTAGGCTCATTTAGCGTTTAAGATGCTATTCATTTTATTTACCTGGTGTTTATGTGTAACGGATTAGAAGGAAAAATAATGAATGGCATATGGAGCTGTGGACATGTTCCTATTTTTTGCTTCTATATGCGGTTACGTGTGTATGCGTTTTGTCCGTTCACGAATGGACACGCTGGGCAGCCATATGTGGGGGGGGGGGAGATAGTTGTGCCTACTGCACTGCCGTCACTAAGAGCTCTTACATATGGCACATTCCAATAGATGCCCTCCAAACTATTGACAATGATGAGCAGATAATACACATCAGTTTCTGCTAAACTAAACGCTAATGCATCGCTTAGGGTTCTCTGTTAAACGGGTGTTCGCAAGCTTACAAAACTCGTTGAATATAGATATAACATGATCCAGAACTGCACAACTGTAGTGTGTAAGTCAATCATCACAGACTTAGCGACCGGGCACAAAAAAAAAAAAAAAAAATGGCGATCTCTCCTTCAACACCCTCTGCCACTCCAACACGGGGGGGGGGCAAAATAAATAAATCAATGTTTTCCAATAAATGGTGGCACTCAAAATGAACGTAGGAAAGGATCGAGTGGATTTGAACAGCAAAGAAACCAAGATAAGTTTGCAGCTATGATCACTTCGAACCAATTGTAAAACTAGAGGGCAAGTGTTTGACAAACTGCTGGCAAGAAGGCTGAAAACAAGTGCATCATCAGAGTTTCAAATTTGCTTAGTACAGTTCAAAAACAAACACAAACAGCTTTTTTAGCAAACACAGTGCAGTTTATATGGTAAATTTGAATTGGGGGGGGGTGCACTTCTTTTAATTTAAATTCAATTGACCAAGCTTTTGCTCCAATCTAACTTGAATCTGATGGCCTTATCATACCAACTCTGAATTTTCAAAATCTGCAACTTATATCAGAAAAGTGTTGAAATTGTGGTTTAAGATGGGTCAATTTTGCACAAAACGTGTTTGGACTTTCATTTAATGGTTTCGAGGTTCGAGCAAACCTTTAGTTTATACCAATATGACTTGTGCAAGCTGCCCGCAGAGGCTAAATGCTAGCAAATCAAAATTTCACTAGTTCAGTTGCCTTTTAAACACCCAATTTTACCAATTCACCAACCAACTTCAGCTGATGATCCAAACAAAACTGTAAAACAAACTTTTTATGACTCCCCCAGGACACAAATTAAACTTTAACCAGACTCTGAAATGGCATTCAGAGATGTCCAGAGTGGTTCTAGCTGACAGATTCCAAAAATCAGGAAAAACTCAATCAAAAGTGTGTGCGCTCGGTCCAACTCTGACGGCTCTATCACAATGATTCTGGATTCTGCGACTGGTGCAACCAAACCAGTTTTTATTGTCTTAGACAATCATGTTCCATATGGTATGCACACAACGCAGTCCAAGAATTCCAAACACAACCAGAAAGTGCAGTAGAATATAGAAAAATATGATTGGAACATACTAAATTTGTATTTTTGGGGGCTTTTCAACTTCTCAAACAATCGCCCTTCATCCATAGCCTTTGCCCGTAAACTACAAGCCTCATAATTTTCCCATAGATAAAAAAAGAAAGGAAAAGAAAAATCAACCTTAATTATCCCAAATGCATGCAAGTAAGAAGACAGTATTTAAAAATCAAAGTATGCAGACAACAACAATTGTGACAAATCTCATTCATAGAAAGGACATCAAATTGCATACATCATACAAATCCTGAATGGCCCTAAAATGAAGGTGGAAAATTGCATAACCCACCGGTCCCAGGATATGAGGTGTTTCGGTCTCTCTCTATAGTATGTCAATATAAGAATTACCTCAGACTTCAACATCCAGGTGTTTAACTCTGAACACATTATGCAAATTTACGCTATCATAAACTTGGAAAACTTCTAATCACACCAATTGAATTAGAAATAAACTCGAAATCAATAGGACTTCAATCAAGGCTTGTAATGTGGCCAAGGTATAGATGAGGTAAAAAGAGATAAAAATCAAGGCTAAAATCAAAGAGAGCTGATATGAAAAATGAATGCATAAATCATTCACGAATGCATAACATAAACAATACAAGTTCTGAAATGTAAATAAACAGGAATGACTCACATAGTGGAATACTTGAATGAAAAGATATATCTACCATAATGTTTTGATTTTATTTGTGCGCTTCATCCTCTTTCGGAAACTTAAATTTCCATTTCAAAGAAATCTACAAAATACAACAAGTAAGCAATGTTAAAAAGAAAACAACCACAACAACAAAACCATTTAGTTGAAGCAATTCAATTTGAACTTAAGTGGCAGCACTAAGTTCTAACCTTTAAGGCCTAAGTCTTTTGTCTTAGTATACTAAGCCCTAATCCCTAATCATACTTTGACCTAAGCCTTTAAGCCCTACTATGCCCTACTATGCCCTACTATGCCCTACTATGCCCTACTATGCCCTACTATGCCCGACTATGCCCGACTATGCCCTACTATGCCCTACTATGCCCTACTATGCCCTACTATGCCCTACTATGCCCTACGGCCGCCTACTTGCCTACCTGCCCTGTCCATCCTACCTCCGCCCAATGCCCTTACTACTATGCCTCTGCCCTATGCGCTCTACGCTCTGTCCCTATGCCCTATGCCCTATGCCCTATGCCCTATGCCCTATGCCCTATGCCCTATGCCCTATGCCCTATGCCCTATGCCCTATGCCCTATGCCCTATGCCCTATGCCCTATGCCCTACCCTGCCCTACGCCCTATGCCTCCAAATGGTACTCATACAATGCTAAACAATTCTTGGTTCAAAATAAATAGTGTCATAAGGAGAACATAAGATTTTTATTCTGTCACTACTACAATTGAAGGAGTAGCTCTTGGGAGTCGAGGGACACAACAGTGCCAATAATGAGGGTGGTAGCGTTGGAAACAACTACGACTTCATCGAGTAGTACATAATTCAAGCCTTCAAGCTACACAATAAAGAAAAATCATGATAAGACAAACAATTTTCAATTGCGGACAATTACTACAACTAATTATATTTGAAGACATAACAAATCAAATGCAATATTGTACCTTATCTTTCATCTTCAACCAAACATTTGTTACATTTTGATCGTTGACAGTTATTGGTGGACCCAAACACTGGGTAACAGTTTCCATTTCAGCAAGTATCTTATTCTTTCTTAAAGCCAATAAAATTCAATTAGTTTTAGAGCAATAATGAACTTGAATAATTTCATAGTGAAAAAGATAAACATAATAACTCATCGGTAGATAACGAAATTTTTTCTAAAATGAACGAGAAATATATGGAATTACAAATTTCAAAGAATACCTTTTATGAAGTCAACTACTTTCTCCGCTCCTAGTTGGGTTGCAAAGTATTTATTGCGAAGACTCCCACAGATGTATAAATCACTTGTAACAAAACAAATAGAAAGACATAGTAAAATTATCATGGTTAATTGCACAATTGATATTGTAGACAAGAAACTCTTCCTTTACAACAAGGGAACAATTATAAAACTGGTTCCATTCTACCTAGTGTATTTTGAACTGTGACAAACACTCTTTAAAATATTATAACATATGTAATCCTTGGATAAAAATAAAATACCAATATTTGTTGATAAAAAATCATTTTCAACTAAGAGCATATGTTTGTGTCACATCACATGGAAATCAAATTAATGACATTTTTCTTGAAAAGTGGTAGCATGATATAAGTTTGATTCTCATATTTAAAAAGAACATACCATATCCTTGTCGGACATTACAAGAAGTCAACCCGTAAGTAACCTTCCCCACATGTGCAGATAAACGTGTTGCTCCAGACAAAATAAGACGAACTCTACCTCCTAAACCCTCCTTTGCCCGATGATGATTAGCAAAGCCGTAATCCATTGTATGCACAAAACAGTTGGTACTAATTATCCACCACACCTCATTAAATTGTAGAATTTTGTACATATTATCCACCACACCTTACTAAATTGTAGAATTTTGTACATATTATATCCATACTTTCTAAAGTACATCAAAGCCTTTCTATGAAATAGAAAAGTGTACCACCTGAAATTATGAAGTAAAATTCACAAGCTTTTATGTCTTCGTAAGTCAAATTAATGATAGAAATATGATTAGAAGGTAAAAGATAGGGTGAAAATAACAAGTTATAAGAAAACAACAAAATACTAATAATACATCCTAAATCCTAATAATTGTGATGATTATTGAATAACTACACAAGGTGCGTTTTTGCTACCAAGCTTCATGAATTTTTTTGAATAATGTGCCTTTATTCCTTTAAACTCCTTAAACTGAAATAAAAGACCTATTGGAACATGAATACATTATGTTCGATAAGAAAAATTAAAAAAACTTCATACAGTTTACCTTTTATACACTTCACTGATTTCCTTTATACACTTTAAACCTTTTATAAAGAAAACTTTTCTGCTTTCTTTAATTTTTTAAAACTGAAAGGAAAAAAAAAACATTTAAACTATAGAAAAGTTATTTATTTTTCAATTAAGTTTTTATTTTCTTAAAAATTCATTCATTTAATATGTATTAGTGATAGTATTTTATACTTATTTATTTATTACGATATCAAGTAAAAAAATAAAACATAGTTGTAATACTATGTAGTATGTACCGCATGCAAAAAAAAAACAAAGCTAGAAACTCATGTCACAAATCAAAAGCTCGTTATAAAAATTAAAATAAAGAACTTATTAGTTAAAATCTTCAAATTGAAATGACAGTGAACTAACTCTCAACACAATAAAATCCTAGTTTCTTTTTTAATGGACTGAATTCACAGAACAATATTAATCTCCACTGTATCTAGGAATTAAAATGAGAATTATAGTTTTTACTAAGTTAGAATTAATCAAAATTATAAATTACCCTAAAATAATAGCTAAAATCATTGTATTAACACATTTACAAAATCAAGAATTTTACTCTGTAAATCAAAAATGTCATAAAAAACAATAAATTAGACCCTAAACACAACTTAATAAAAAAAATACAATAGCNGCCCTACTATGCCCGACTATGCCCGACTATGCCCGACTATGCCCTACTATGCCCTACTATGCCCTACTATGCCCTACTATGCCCTACTATGCCCTACTATGCCCTACTATGCCCTATGCCTCCAAATGGTACTCATACAATGCCTCCAAATGGTACTCAAACAATTCTTGGTTCAATCAAGGCTTGTAATGTGGCCAAGGTATAGGTGAGGTAAAAAGAGATAAAAATCGAGGCTAAAATCCAAGAGAGGTGTTATGAAAAATGAATGCATAAATCATTCACGAATGCATAACATAAACAATACAAGTTCTGAAATGTAAATAAACAAGAATGCATCACACAGTGAAAGAAAGTAAGGCAAGGCTCAAATCTCACAAAGGATAAAATTTGTCAAAACTAGTTCGAAACTCACATTTCATGTAAAAACTATTCAATTCTATTGAAAGAAATTGTAAAATCTAGCTAGAAACTATGAACTCAAATTAGAAACTCAATAAATCATTCACAATCAAGAACTAAAAATAGTAGACAAGTAATCATGCAAAACCTGAAAAACTCAACTAAGAACCTCAATGTATCGACCTAAACAAGTTTGAAACTATAAAAGAAAGTTAAGAGAAGTGGATAGAAACTCACTATCTAAAAACAACAAATAACTAAGAATCTCACTATCAAATCTGAAACAGAATACTAACACAGGATAGAAACTAAAACTACTACTCTTAAAACAGCAAAGATATTTTATAAAAGCAAAATAAAACTGAAATCTCTTAAAACAGTAAAAGAAACTAGCTATGAAATAGAAAACGAAACCTCATGAGCTTCTTTCACAGTCTTTCCATCCTTTTTCTTTCTCCAATTATATCCATACTTTCTAAAGTACCTCAAAACCTTTCTATGAAATAGAAAAAGTGTACCACCTGAAATTATGAAGTAAAATTCAAAGCTTTTATGTCTTCGTAAAGTCAAATTAATGATAGAAATATGATTAGAAGAAGGTAAAAGATAGGGTGAAAATAACAAGTTATAAGAAAACAACAAAATACTAATAATAACATCCAAAATCCTAATGAATTGTGATGATTATGCAATAAGTACACAAGGTGCTTTTTTGCTACCAAGCTTCACGAATTTTTTTGAATAATGTGCCTTTATTCCTTAAACTGAAATAAAAGATCTATTGGAACATGAATACATTATGTTCAGATAAAGAAAAATTAAAAAACTTCATACAGTTTTAAAAATAATTAAATTCAGTTAAATGAACTCAAGTAGGAGAATACTTCAATTTTGAAACACATTGTTCAGCACCAGAAAGATATAATATGATTAATTCAGGCCAAAAATAGCAAAGTGTGAATGTATTTCATTAATTTTCTTTTCCCAAGCTAAATAGGTTAATGCACTTATATCTCTACCAAAGAATGGAAGTTCCCTATTAACTTGATTATATATATCAAACTCAATCCTATCATTTTCTCAAAAGGTACAATTTTTCCTAGATTTTTCAAGTGTTTCAATCATATTTTTGAAAGTATTTTGATGGTCAAAACTGAGATTACTACTCCTAGAAGACCTATAACTTGACATCTTTGTTCTTAAAAGTTTTTCTAATCTAAAGGGTTTATGGGTTTCGACAAATCCCAGGTAAGAGGTGAGCCAAAAAGGCTACTTAAGTACCAAATTTTGCCTTGCCAGAATTATCTTATGCTACTCCCTTAATACCCCTAAAAGTAAAATTACCTTTAAAAACAACATACATGACTATCACACGCAAACAATTAAAGACAAACAAAAAAGACTAGACCCCTAATTGCGGACAATAATTCATACCATCATCAATATCTCCCTCATTGCAATCCATTACAAACCATAAAGATAATCAGTTCAACCAAAACACAAGCAATGTAAGATAGAGGACTCCCTTCAATTTCAAACTCCCTAACGGGTTGCTGCTGCTGCTGCTTTTCTCATGGATTCAGCTCAAAATTCACCTTGCAATCACTAAACTGCGGCTTAACTTAGTGATTCAAACAAATCAGTTCTGCACATCTAAGTCACACCACAATCCAACAAATACACATGAAAATGAACAGTTAACCAGCTTCAAATTTATATGATTCAAAACAAGAACTGAATTGGTTAAACATCAATCCAAGCTAGTCAAAATTGATGGTCTAAACTGGTCTATTTAATGTGATACAACGTAAACCATAGTCATCTAATTCATTCAATCATGCAATCAAAATTGGAAATGCAAGGCTTTAGTTACTTTGTAAAACTGAATGAGATATGATAGTCTAATTGGGATGGAACTAAATGGCAATCAAGAATATACAACAATCAAACTGGACAAACTGACATAAATCAGCAAACAAATTTAAAAATTGGAAGTGAATGCCGTGGCAGTAAACAATTTTAAAAATTGAAGTAAATGCAGTAGCAATTTTCTCTTTTGTTATCTTGATTGCACTCCAGTTTAAGCAATCTGCATAAGAAACAATTAGCAAGCTAGTTAGGCTAAACTCTTTCAATTTGCCAATGGACCTAGGCTAAGTTAGCCTCGGAAAGCTCACTACGCTCCAGTTTCTCTCTAGAAGCTTGACACACTCATATATATTCAATATTTCATCACCAAGTCCTAAACCAAGTAAAAAACTAAACAACGACTAAAAGATAGCAAGAACATAAGACCTAATAAAAAAATATAAAGAAAGACTCCAAAAACAAAAGGAGTCCAAAAAGAATATCGGTTGTTTAGAAAAAGCAAATATAAGAAGGAAAAAAATAACAAGATAAAGCAAACAAGAAAACAGAGAGCACAAATAACACATAACATTTCAAAAAATGCAAATAAAACAATTACAGAGACAAGAGAACTGGGTATAACTGAAATAGAAAAACCTTTAAGCCAATAATGTTCAATGATCCACATTCAAACAAACAAAAAGTTCTTGAAAAAAAACAGAAACAAAGGAGAAGAAAAATAATACAAAAGACAGCAAAAATGAAATCCTGTTCTACTTTATCCAGTCTCAGATGTTTCCACCACACCACAATTGAAAAAGTTAATAATTTGGAAAACATCCGAAACCAAATTATATGATCCTGAATCATTTTTCCAGGAAAAAAAATGAAAGATAAAGAGAAATGTGATTTTCCCGCCCACTCTCTCTGCACTCACCCATTCAATTCACTGATTTCCTTTTATACACTTTCAACCTTTTATAAAGAAAATCTTATTCTGCTTTTCTTTATATTTTTTTAAAACTGAAAGGAAAAAATAAACATTTAAACTATAGAAAGTTATTTATTTTTCAATTAAGTTTTTATTTTCTTAAAAATTCATTCAATTTAGTCATGTATTAGTTGATAGTATTTTATACTTATTTATTTATTTACTATTATTCAAGTAAAAAAATAACACATAGTTGTAATACTATGTAGTATGTACCGCATGCAAAAACAAAAACAAAGCTAGAAACTCGGTCATAATCAAAAGCTCGTTAGTAAAAATTATAAATAAAAGAACTTATTAGTTAAAATCATTAAATTGAAATGACAGTGAATTAACTCTCAACACAATAAAATCCTAGTTTCTTTTTTAATGGAGTAGAATTCACAGAACAATTATTAATCTCCACTATATCAAGGAATGAAAATGAGAATTATAGTTTTTACTGAGTTAGAATTAATCAAAATTAAAATTACCCTAAAATAATAGCTAAAATCATTGTATTAACACATTTACAAAATCAAGAATTTTACTCTGTAAATCAAAAATGTCATAAAAACAA